CCTTCCAGCCCAGAGTTCCACCTTCCAGCCCAGAGTTCTGCTTCCATCTTAGAGATCCGCCTTCCAGCCCAGAATTCCACCTTCCAGCCCAGAGTTCCACCTTCTATCCTAGAGATCCGCCTTCCAGCCCAGAGTTCCACCATATAGCCCGGAGTTCCTCCCTCCAATTTCTCTGCATCCAGGAGCTCTAGATGTCCTGTGCTCAGACCTAATGTGGGTGCTCTGTGCTGTTTTCTTAGAATATTTCCTGTCCCTGGTGAGGTCCTTCCCAGGCTTATACCTTCACTGACTCATTGATTGGAGAAGTCATGGGTCCCTTAGGCCCAAGAACCTGTCCTTCCCTATCTGTGAGCCCTTTTCAACCTCACTTGTTGGAAGTCCTTCCATCTTCCTTTTGACCACCTTTTCCTACTTGATACTTGTTTATTCTTCAGTGGAAATTGTTTACTGTCCCTGTTCTCCATCCCGTTCTCATATGCATTACAGATTCTCATCTCATGTTCTCCCTTAGGTTATGGGAGCTCCTCAGGAAACAGCTTGCTTTTCTGTCTTAGCTAAACAGCTGCACAATCTCTGGCAGTGTAGGAAAGCCTAGACATTTGTTGAGTGACCATGCTTTCTTTAGTATCTACCTTAGGACAGAGATGGGTTTTTGTCACCTGAGCACTGCTGATGTTTTGATGAGTGAATTCTTTGCTGTGGGAGTTCTGTCCCAGGCCTTGTAGGGGGCCCTGTAGCACTGTCCTCTCTTCCTCCATCTGTGATCATCAGCATGACTGCTGACACATCAGATGTTCCCCAGGGGAAGGGAAGTGGAGCCGAGGTGTGACCAGATGCTCATGAATGGCTCTCTACAGGGGGAAGTGAGTCCTGAAACCCCCTTGTGCAAATGTCTCAGGGAGCAGCACCTTTGATGCTCTCTGCTCACCAAGTACTTTGTTCTTTGCTTTCCTCCCTATGTCTGCTGGACACTCCTAAAGAACTCTTGAGGAGACTGTCTATAGCATTGTGCTCTCCCTGGCGCAGCGGTGTGGCGTCTCCCGCTGGGAAGTCTTCATGACGCACTTGGAGTTCCTGTTCACTGACAGCGGGTGAGTGCCACTTCCCACACAGGTCACGGATGTCTGTGTGCTGTGTAGAGGAATTTTGCTCCTTCTCAGCTATAGTAGGTGCATATTCTATACTGATATTCTCATAGTACCCTCCTAGCTTTTGTTTTTCAGTAGCTTTGCATTAAATAATTTACTCTTCACTATGTGTTTCATTCAGAAGTTTTTGCTGGGATTCTGTTCCCATGTTGAAAGACATGATATAAGAGCAGGTGTTATGGCTGTCTTTGGACATACAGTCCACAGTGGGGAAGATAGTGACTGAGTGATGGTCTTAAGTATGAAATTAAAACTATGAGCCCTATTAAGGGATTTGACACCTCAGGGTCAAATTAGGGGGACCCCTCAAGAAGTAGCACCTGAACTGTACAGGGTTCAGAGGTGGTTTGAGAGTTCATGTTACAGCAGCCCCCGCTGTGTAGTTTGAACAGGGCAGAAAGAGCTTTGCTAGGATGGGCAGAGGTGAGGCTCTGGGAGGTTGGATGTGGTCATGGGTGGAGCCCACTGGGTTAAATATGTCAGCCATGTAGAAGAGAGTGAGGCCGGAGGATGTAGACACACAGGGTGATTGAAAAAGAGCGTGAAAGCCTACATTTGAAAAAAGTGTAAACACAGTGCCATCAATTTCCCTCAAAATTCTCACTCTTATTTCAAAAGTACCTGGCTAGTTCTGGAAGTCCTCTATCTGAGTGTGTATAGGAGGTTTAATAAAAAATACCAGCTGTAGTCACCAGATCTGGCACTGTGTGACTTCTTGCTCTTCCCCAAGTAATAATGGCCATGAAAGAGAAATGTTTGGAATGCAGTGAGGACCCTGATGCAGCCAGGACCGCACGGCTAAGGACCGTCAGGAAACAGGACTCCAGAGCAGTTGCAGGTGGTGGGGGTGCTTGAAGTGACAGGAGGATTTTGTGGGGATTTATGGCAATGTGTCTTTCACTCTAAGAGATGTTAAAAACTGAAGCATACACCATACTTTGGTCACACCTTGTGTATGCATGCAGCATGTCTTTTTGATGAAATGCTTTGTGTACCTCGGGACTCTGTTAGCAGGAGGTCAGCCCTAGATACACAGATACTCCTTCTGTGAAAGAGCTCCATCTAACACTTTTCTTTATAAGGTGGCCTGACTCAGGACTTTGTTCTAGTAAAGCAAAGTGCAACATTGCAAGCTAATACCTTAAGTCGAGTGAATTCACTACAATTCCCTACACTGTGAGGGGAAGGGAACAGTGCTTTAGTTAGGCAGTATGCTAAGTGTGGCAGTACTTCCTGTCCTCCTCCTGTCAAGACAGCAGGCAGCTCTGAAGGCTAGGTACTATGTCCTATACCTTGATGGACATGGCCTCTACCTTCAGCCCCTTGGGTGTCTCCCATGAGACTGTTTTTGGTAAGCAGAGGCCATGGAGTCAGACATAGGAGAGAGTCCCCATTCCAAACTGCTGCCCTCTTTAGGAGTAACACTATTTCATTATTTCAGTGTTATGTTGTAAATTAAAATGGAAATACAGGATTAGAAAAGATTCATTTAGAGTAGGGATGTTTCACATAGATACTGAGGCATAGGTCTTGCTAATGTGTTAAAGTTGGGTCTCATGTGGAGGAAACCCCACCCCTGAGCCCACTCCCTCCCATGCAGAGTAACCTTTTCCTTCACCTAGGGGAATTTGAGTGAATGAAGAAGAATCTTTAAATAATTTTTTGCCTTCTACTACTATAAGTCCTTTGGATGCATGCTGTTCTTGAATTACTTTTTGGGCTGATGGGCGACTTGAAGCCATCACAGAACACCTTCATTGGGGATTTGTATGTTAATTTATTCCATGTGCACTGAGTATGGCTAATGCCAGCTGTTCTCTATAGTTGATCTCCTAAAGCAAAATATCCATCGTACTTGTAAGCTGCCTTGCTGCTAAAACTGGGTTCAGAAAAAAGCACTGAAACCATTTTTAAGGGTAAACATTAAATTGGTTAGTGAAAAGTTGACATTGTTTTCATGGTTTCTCTTCCTATTCTCCTCTCTTGCTACTTGTTCTGAAGGGAAAATAGCAGCTTCTTTCATGGAAACTGTTAAAATTGATTATTGATCACTGGCATCTATAAAAGACCTGAGCACATTGTAACTTACTGAAAAGGGAGGTAGGGGTATTTATCATGTGTCAGCAAAGGTATTGCAGTCTTGACAAGGTACTGAGGCAACCTGGATTGTAGGCACAGGAGAGAGAGTGGGTGGGCTGAGGAGGAAGTCATGTTGATGGAGATTGATTTAGAAGCAGGCCAAGCGCAGGTGAATGAAATAAAGTGTTACGCTCCAGCCATTGCCCACTCTGTAGCTGAGCCAGTCCTCTGCACTGTTTATCTGGGTGTCAGGAGCACTCTATCGACTGTTGCCTTCAGGAACAAGTCATAAGAGAGGAGAACAGGAAGAGAAACCATGAAAACAATATCAACTTTTCACTAACCAATTTAATGATTACCCTTAAAAATGGTTTCAGTGCTTTTTTCTGAACCCAGTTTTAGCAGCAAGGCAGCTTACAAGTACGATGCATATTTTGCTTTAGGAGATCAACTACAGAGAACGGCTGGCATTAGCCATACTCAGTGCACATGGAATAAATTAATATACAAATCCCCAATGAAGGTGTTCTGTGATGGCTTCAAGTTACCCATCAGCCCAAAAAGTAATTCAAGAAGGACTCCTGTCTTTGGGTGGGTGGTGGTGTGGCTGCTTCGCCTCTGGGAGTGATGGGTGCTGTGCATGGGGTGCAGTGAGCAGCATGCGCTGGAGTCCAGTGGATGTGGATCTTGGTAACCCACTTCCCTGTGTTGCAGCTCCTGTCTGCACGCTAACTCCCGGCTCTAATTCTCTGGCGTCCTTCAGTGAGAATCATCTAAGCCAGGTCACACTGCTTATTCCTCACACCCCCACATCGCAACAAGTCAGGACTCTGTGTGCATGGATCCTTCAGCACTCGCACCCAGAGCAGCTGCAGTGTCCAGGGCGCCTTCTCAGCCAGGCCTGCTGCCTTCTCATCCTGGTGCTTCCATTCACATCATTTCTGTTCCATTCCTCTCTGCAATGCCAAACTCAAGTTTTGCTTTCTTTAAGCTTTCTGTTATCACCAGTTGCCATCTCCTCTGAAGCCATCGTTTTTGTCGCTCTTACTCTTAATTGGGATATTTGTGTCCTGTGACAGTGCATGCCATTGATTTTCACTATTATTAATTCCAAGTGTTTAAAACTCCACTGGATTTTTCGAATCTACATATAAATCCTGTGCTCTGAATCCTTATGTACTTCCCAGAGCAGGGCACCATGAATGAGAGGGCACCCTATTCTTTTGCTTATCTACCTATCTGTGAAGCATTCATGAGACACAATCAAATGCCTCCTTCATGCTGTACCCTGGGTCTTGGTGTACAAAATAAAGGTGAAGAGGGTATCATGTTCTGTGCTGTAGTCAGCTGCCCTGCTCTAGTGAGGAGGCAGACAGGTAATCAGTAGTGAAAAGGCAAGGGTCAGGTGCCAGTGGGCAGTTGGGCAAATTTTTGTAGACCATGGGACACATTTATATAAATGTTTGAATTGTGTCTTAACTCACAAGGAAGATTTCTCTTAAAGTGAAAAGACCATTTTCATCAATTGCTTGATATTTTGACTCTATAATTGTCCCTTTTATCCTTGGTATTATTACACTCACAGAAGTTTTAAAACACAATGTATATTAACTTTATGAAGACTTGACTTTTGGTACCTTCTAAAAATACTAACCCTTGGAAACATAGTATTTATCTGTTCTACCTGATATGCCATTGCTTTTAAACCATAGGGGACCCTGGGGTTGAGGGAGGGTAGCTGAATGGGGAAAATAAAAGAATTGAGTTCTGGAGTGTACAGGTACAAATTCCCTATGAAGACTGCAATCATTATGTATATCTAAAATGTACCAGTAAAATAATTTTCTTTGAAAAATAAGTAAACCACAAGAAGCCTGACCCCGGTCCTCAAGTCTCGCTGTGGCCCTGTACTTCCAGCGGCTCCCCAGAAACATTTCTCAGCTGAAACACTTCTGCTGGGGGAAGGGTGGCTGGAGAAGTCTGGGAAATTGCTCCTGTCCCAGGAGAAACACTGAGCCAAAAAATCAACCCCTCTGTTCCCTCCCAAAATGCCAGACAGATCAACCAAACAGAAATACTGTAGTACATTTATAACAGGTGATCAACTTACTACACCCAGGTGAATTAAACTAGCATGGTGCTGGGTGCAGGGGCCCCACCTGAGGGTTGTTGCCAGCAGCATAAAGGCAGAACAGGAGAAGCTGTTGAAATGCTGTTAGGCATGCTGTTTGGAGAAGCTGCTGGAAGCTGCTAGTTCTGCTAGTTCTGCTAGTTCTGCTAGTTCTGCTAGTTCTGCTAGTTCTGCTGGTTCTGCTGGTTCTGCTGGTTCTGCTGGAGGATCTTGTCATGTTGGCTTTCCTAGTGAGCTTTGGCAAAGCTTGGGTCATCATCTTGAGCATAGTTTCCTGACTCTGGAGGGGAAGATGGTGTACCGCTCAGTCTCATGAAGCTTGTCGTATTGGCTTTCCTGATAGAAGCTCAGCTTTCCTCATTGGTGGAGGAGCTTGGGACCTCACTGTTTTTGAAGACAGCTGTGGTACTTTTGGGGAAGCTCTGGTGCTTACCTTGAGCATTGCTTTGTGGCTCCAGTTCAGATCCCTCAGCTTGCTAGCACAGATCCTTCATCCCATAGGCATAGACGTCCTAGCTTCCATCACTGACCTTTGGGCCTTTCCAGCACAGATCCATGAAGCAGGCCTGCATGGGACTTTGTTGTGGGCTCTAGATCTTCATTTGGACTGGTAGGAGGCATTGCTGTGAACTCTAGGCCCTTAGCCGGATTCTTTAGTATTTAGTGTGTGGATATATTTCCTGCACTTGTAGTAATGTGGTTCTTGTGTGATTCATTAAAAAATACTATTATAAAATGTGTTCTGTACTGTATTGTTCACCTTGCAAAAACCCCAAACTATGACAAATATCTTGGGTTCTTTCTGCCTCAGATAGATCAGCCTTAAGATCATCTTCTTATATCACACTGCAGAGACATGTGTGAAAATACCAAGACACACCTTTCATTCAGGTGGCACTTGTATAGATAATTCAAGTGAAAGTACAGTTATTTCCCTTTGCTGTTTGATTTGACAGTAAATTGGAGTTTATTGACTATGAATCAAGACTCTTAGTGGCTGTATCTTTGATTAGGCATGAAAAAGCACTGGTAAGAAGCAACCCTTCTTCCTGGTGAACAAACAAACAGGTCCTGTTGTGGAAGCTCAGCCCTCAATCTCTGACTCTTCCTTTCAGTTTGCCCACTGCTGAAATTGAGAAGCGAGCCCAGGCCCTTAACCTCTTTGAGACTCTGAAGATGGATCCAGAAGCCTTTCATAGGCACATGGCCAAGTACATCTACCCCACCATCGGTGGCCTGGACCATGAGAGGCTGCTGTATTATTTCACTCTTCTGGACAGCTGTGGCTGCGCAGAATTGGGGAACCTGGCCCTGAAGCCTGAGACCCACATACGGCTGCTGAAGAAGTTTAAAGTTGTCGCGGCAGGTAGGCTACTCGTGCCCCTCCCTTGAACACAGCCTTTTCAGCTCCATTTGGGGGTTTCCCTCCTGTCCGCAGCTGGGTGATGCTATGGGGGGACAGACCTGAAGCCAGGAGTGTGGAGCTGATCCACTGAGATTCATCCTGCTGACTCCAGTCATAGGTGAGGAGTGAAACCCCAGGAATAGCAGGAAGCAAGTGAAAGTCACACAGCAGTCTCGGGAGATTTGGTACTAACACCTACTGTTGTACTAGCTTTTAATCTGCTCCCGTCTCTTATATTCTGTTTATGAGGTATGGTCTGAAAATACAGTGAATGTTTATATTTTAAAAACTTATACAACCAGGTATGATGGTGCACACCTGTAATCCCAGCACTCAGGGCCTGAGGCAGGAGGACAGTTGTGAGTTTGAGACCAGCCTGAGCTATATAAAGTGAGCTCAAGGCCAGCCTGAACTGTATAGTAAGACCCTGTCTCAAAAACAAAAACAAAACCCAAAACTTACAGTAAAAGACACATTGCCAAGAAAGGTGAGGTGTGTCAAGCGAGGGGGAATAACTGCATTTTGAGGAGATCAGTGGCAGTGTGTCTTTTGCTGTAATAAATTGTTTAAACACAGTGTATACACACACACATATATGCATATACACATATTTGAGACACTCAGCAAGAGTCCTTTTGGTAGAATTTTACTTCAGTGGAGCCTACTTAAAATGTGTGTACAGTAAGTGTTGGAATCTTTAAATAGATGTATCCTTAGTCCTGTAACCGAGAACCAAGCTCTTTTAACAGAGCTCACAGCTCCATGACGCTCCATAGTTGTGAGGCATGTTGAGTCTCCACATGTGATATTCACAGCAGTTATGAGAACACCTTGGACTGATCAGCTGTTTCAGGAGTAAGGAGTGTGAGTTACTCCCTGCCTTCCAGCACCTGGGAGACACCAGGGAGGGGTAATGAATACAGTGTAGTTTAGTGGAAAATGTACAAGCCATGGGGAGTTAGGCAGTACACAGCCACTGCCTTCCCTAGGAAACGGAGGCACACAGAAGCACCTGACCTGCCTCGGCCACATGGGGGCAGGGCTACTCAAGGACAGGATCTTGGGTCTTCACCCTCCTGTGTGAAGCCAGGCTATGCAGGAGAGGCTGGTGGGTGGGGTTTTCACCCAGCCATGTAGAGGGTTGTGTGTGTTGGGAAATGTCAGTCAGTGCATGCTGGACTGGACCACTTCTGCTCTCTTCCTCTTTCTGTTCCCAATAGGTCTCAACTATAAAAAGCTGACAGATGGAAGCACGAGCCCTCTGGAAGCCTTGGAGCCTGTTCTTTCAAGTCAGAACATCTTAGCTATCTCCAAACTTGCTCCCAGCATCCCAGAGGAGGATGGAGGGATGCTGTCCCCAAGCTCATTGTATGCTGTCTGGCTGCAGAAACTGTTTTGGATGGGGGACCCTCACCTGGTCAAGCAGGTCCCTGAGTCCTTCCCGGAGTGGCTTCGTGCCTACGATGTCTGCGTGAGGTACTTCGACCGCCTGCACCCAGGAGACCTCATCACTGTGCTGGATGCAGTTACATTTTCTCCAGAAGCTGTGGCCAAGGTAGTGTCAAAATTTCTTGAGTCAATCATAGACCAAGTCCTTTAAAATAAGTGAAAATTTGCTCTTGTATTCTATAGGATTGCTTTAATTTCTTTTCTTGAAGTGGAAAATAATTGGAATTGACTTTTATTTATTATTTTTCGCTAAGCATGGTGAACAGTAGGGAAAACATTTTTCTTTATTACAGAGGTACAGACAGTAGTGCTCAGATAGGTCTGTGCTGATTTATGTTATGAGACATGGTTCTCAGCTGTCATCTCACAGCAAACACACCAGTCATTCTTTCCCTGTGTCAGATGTCTGGAAATGCCTTGGCCTAGCCCATTTCCCTTTTTTTAAAAATTTTAATTTTATTGAGAAATACGAATGAGACATTTTCAAAGCTGATTAATAGAACAGTTTTGATAAGCAATACATTGTACATTGTTATCTTCTTAGAGTTTATCCATAGTTCAATAAGCAGACAGGATATCCTGTCCCAACACTATTAGTACACCTCTTTCTTCTCTTTGAATTAAGCAAAAGTAGCTATATATCTATCCTATTTTGTATATAGAAATACAAAATGATCTTTCCTTTGTATTCCTTTTTTTTTTTTGTTTAGTCCTGTCAGAGGTGGATATTCTATTGGCATCTAAATACTATAGGTGTTTGAATTCAGCTAAACAATCCAACACTGTCCAGCAGTCTATAATATTAGTGGGTTATCCTCAGAAGTTATTGACTTGGGCCTTTTATAGCTCATCGTATTAATATGGCTTTACTTTATATACCTTGTTTTTATACTTTTCTGCTGGATGGTTAAGACCAAGATAAAGCAAGACTTATATGACAAATTTAACTTTTGCATCTGATAAGGTCAGTCAAGTCCCCTCAGGATTTATCCTGTAGCCCTGTACCACACTTTGTAGATCCTTTGTCAGTGTCAGCCATAAGGATGAGTCACGGTCATTGCTTGACCAGTTTGCTCTCTGTGAAAGCCTGAGAGAATGTTTTTTCTCTCCATGTGACTCTCTCCATAGCCCAGTTCTCTTTACTCAGCACTCAGGTGTTACATTGCCTTTGGCTGTGTTAAATTGAATGCTTATAGGTGTCCATCAAGGGCTGGGCTGTGGTCTGGTGTGAAGCGCTTGCCTCCTGTGCTTGTGCCTGGGGGCCCCGGCACTGGAAATGAACCTGTAGGGATGCTGGACGAAGTGGAAGACAGGACATGTGATTGTCCACAGGAGCATGGTCAGGGCTTTGTGCTCAGGGCTGGGCTCTTCACTTCACTCTAACATCTGCTCCTGGTCCTCAGTGAAGTATGGTCCAGAATAGATGATGTGAGAGTGGGTGCCACAGTGCATGCCAGTCAATCTCAGCACTCAGGAGGCTGAGGCAGGAGGATTGCTGGGCTACATAGCAAGACCCTATCTTAAAACAACAAAGAAGTTTGAGCACATTCTCAACCCCTAAGCTAATGTTAATTTTCCACTTCCAAATATCACCAGCAGCCTGAAAAGGTACAGTGCAGTTGGCTGTGTTCATAGGTGCACTCTGCTGCAGAAAAGATGCTTAGCTGACTCATTTAATTACTGTGTGGTCCTTATAGCTCAATAGACTAATCCGAACGTAGACGTCTCTTCACTGTGTGCTACTCTCAGGAGCTGGTTTTCCTTCAGGCAGGTAAATTGTAGAGTGGTGAAACAGCTATATTAAAAATGAATTGTATACCTCTGTCATTTTACTACTTAGGAAACTTTCTATTTCCTGATGAGAAAGGAGTTATATAAAGTTTAAGTAAGCTCCGTGTCTGAAACCAGCTGATGCTGTCCTCTATTAGAGAATAAGCATCAACGTAACAGTGCAGTGTGGCGCACCCATCGAGGGCATGCTGGGAATGGAGTACAGCGGGATTTGTTCAGCTCTGCGGATACCAGGTGTTCTCCTAGCTTGCACACAGTGTTGAAATGTAAAGCAAGGATCACCTATTTGTGCCCAGTGTGCAGATGTCAAGTGTTGTCTCCACATTTGATCTGGAACCAGAGTTTTAGCAAAAGCTGGAAGGAAGCTCCTCTAGTACATGTGACAAAAATAGTAAGCAGTGGTTCAGGTATTAAGTTTGGAGAAGACCATCCCAAACCCAATGTAATGTACTCCTGGCATTGGCCACTCAGGTGACACCTGTATTGGCAGACTTCTGGGGAAAGTGCCTGTGGGTGACTCGTGCTGAGTAGGTGGGAACTGGTCTGCAGGATGCTTGGCTGTGGTGCTCAGGTAAAAGGGAAGGGAGCATGGGCTCGCGGGTGTTGCTAGCTGCAAATCTCAGCTGCCTACTTGGCTGTGTTGGGTTGGAACTGTGCTCCTGTTGTCTGTCCAGTTCTGCAGGTAGAGACATTTTCAGGTGCAACAGGACAAGTTGATTAGTGGGTGAGAAACCCAGAGACATGAAGGAAGGGGACAGGAGCCCATGAGCACTTGCTGGGTCCAGACATGGTTCAGGCAGGTATGGGGTGCTGTGTGTCCTGACCTCTGTGTTCTTTTCCACCTCTGTAGTCTGCAGAGAAATGCATGGGAACGACTCAGTCACTTAGGAAATGCAGAAGTTGGCCAGAATCCTTTAAAAGCTCTCGAAGGCCTCTGGCATCCACCTGGTGCTCCTCAGCTGGAGTCCTTGGCGTTTCCACTTGCCTCCCCAGCACCCCTGTGTGTTGTCACTGTGCATAGAAAAGCTTCTGCTTCTGACCAGAGCCCCTGGCTCTCTCCAGGTGGAGCAGAGCAGCTGGCCTTTCCTCCCTGTGTACCTTTCCTTCTCTGTAGATCCACCTTGATTCTGCACTTGGGAGCCCAGGAAAGAGCACAGGGTGTGGTGTTTCATGTTATGCCTGCTCAGAGCCTTGGTTTTTTTATTCTCCTTTTTCTTCCTTCCCTTCTGAGCTGGGTCTCGCTGTGTTGCAGGCTGGCCTGAACTCATGTCCTTCCTCTTGGGCTTCGAGGAGCTGGGATGACAGGTGTGCGGCGGCACACCCCACTCACAGACTCTTGATTTGAGTCCTTGTTTCTGCCCTTATCCCATGCCCAGGCATAAAAAAATGTGGGAGAGTACATTAATCTTAAAACCATGATTTGAGTAAAGATGGAATTTATTTTTCAGTCAGGGACTGTGCTCTAATGGGGTCTGTGCAGTGCTGATACTATTTCTAACTATGGACGAATATATCTTGCACTGTAATGAGTAATCAGTGCCTGAGGCCTATGTAGAAATGTGTAGGTAAAATATATTCCTTAATTCCTTGGAATGTGCCTTTTTATTTATTTATTTTATTTTTTATTTTTATCATTTTTTCTTTATTTACAAAATCTCAAAACAAGATTTTAGGAGAGTAACAATGGTTAGTACATTGTGTATTGTTACTGCCAAAGTAGTTTTTCATATTGCAAGATATAGGCAAGAAATAATAAATAAACAACATAGGTACAAACCTCTGTTTTTTTT